CATGCCTCGAAAGCTTCAAAGTCACGAATACGAGCTTCTCCTTGGATGAATATCCGTAGAGTGTGAAATAGGTCTTCATCCGCTCGATCCAATCATCAAGCTTCTCGACGTTGATACTCTCGTCATACACATGAATCTTCACTTTAAAGTCTATCTTCAAATTCTGGTAAGAACCCTTACCCTATTGGTGTGAAACAGACTTAACAATACAGATCTCCTCATCTGAATCAGAATCCTCGACTTCTCCATCGGGCTCCACAAGTTTCTTCTTGTCTTTCGAAGAAGATTCCTCCTTGTTTCCCTTGTCTTGGACAAGATTGACGAGTTACACGAGGGTCGAACCCATTATCTTCATCTGCTTCTCCAATGCATCTAACCTTGCTGAACTATCTCCTTCAGTCATCTGCTTCTTCCTTAATTTTCGGACTCCTTCCAATGAAATAAAAATCTCGTCTAGCTTCTTGTATTACAATCGAGTCAGGACCATACACAGGATGCCCCCTCCACAGGATCTGATCGTTCTGATACAAACTTGATACGAGTTGTCCTACGAGCACCTTTGATCGCGAAATTATCAAATGTGGGTTGAGAAAAAAATAACAGGAACACAAGAACAATTCAATGGTGGCGAAGGAAAATACTTTCTCTAGATTATGAAAATAAAATAACTTACAATCTCTCACAATCTCACTAGAATTGAAGAACAATCTCTCTCAATTCTCCCAATACAATCTAATCTCTCTTTTCTTTTAAAATCCTAAAACAATCCCTTTTATATGTGGAACAACGTGGATGGCAAAGTGGTAAATAACCTAGCCCAAAACCCACAAAAATCCGTGCAAACAGAAACCCAAACGAACCAGAAAACCATCGATGAGTCGACTCACGTACATGTATGAGTCGACTCATGTCATATGGGTTGACTCATGACAGTCATGAGTCGACTGGTCAGAAACTATGTCAACACCTGTTAGCTTTCGTGAGTCGACTCATGACAGTCATGAGTCGACTTATGACACATGGGTTGATTCATACAGTGATGAATCTACTGGTCAGAGACTTTTGACAAAACGGCTGAGTTTCACGAGTCGACTTATGACAGGCATGAGTCGACTCAACCTGATGAGTCGACTCAATCTGATGAGTCGACTCATGACTGTTATGAGTCGACTCACGGACTGAAAACAAGATGTTTCGATTATTCGATTCGTCGTCTCGTTCCACGCTTCAACCTGCGTTCCACTGTGCTGTTTTACACCTCTATTCTTAAGCTACCATGAGAATCATCTAACCTCAAGCTCCCATGAGGATCGCTAAGTTCCGAAGAGGAGAAACACCATATCACTATCTCGTAAATCATCCACTTTATGAAAAATACCCCTAAAATCAATAAATCATCAACTTGGTACTAAAGTTTAACTATTTTGTTGATAATTTTCACATTGTGATTAGAAATTAGCTTATCAAAGTTGATGAGTAATTGTTTTGATGCAATTTTTCCAAAATTAATGATTCGAGCGGTAGTTATGGAAATGCTTATATTTGGAGAAATAGCCATGATTTAAGGGGTATATATACAAATAACAAACAATTCAAAATTTTAATAATCAAAACTCTCATCTTTAATCTTATCTTTACCTAAAAATCCTTACTATATTGAAAATTTGAAACTATCTATAACTAGAAATTTTTGATAATAGAGTCCTCCTTTATATATAAAAGAGTTTTTGAGATTAGAAAACTATCAAGAAAACCCAAATTTAAGTAATGCTCATATATGTATTTGTATCCATATCCGAATTCAAATGTGAATTTATATTCGAAGCCAAATCCGGATCCACATCCTAAGTATATATCTGAATCCATAACTAAACTCAGATTTTTGGACCGCATCCAAAAATTTAAGATATATCTATATCTAAAATCGTATTAATTAAAATCTAAAACCATATCCGTATTCAACTAGTTTCAGACTTTGTCTACCATGCCCTCATCCATTTTGGGCACAATTGCAAATAGGATCAGATATTTCCGAACCATTTTGCACCTCTAAGCGATAGGGTTGATGATCATATTGTTGAAGATCATGCCGATGAGAAGGGCTTGATAGATCTCTTCTCTAAATATCTTGCCATCAAGATGAAACTATAACAAATAAGATATTTTATATCACTGCACCTAAAATATAGTCTAGTTTTAATAAGAATGTTGTCATATATCCATATAATTCATTTTCACACACTAAATGCATGACTAAATACAATGTGTCATAAAGGGACAACCAAGTGAGGGCCAAAGAGGTCTTAGCTCCACTTTAGAAATGAGATTTCATCGACTCAAGTGGAACAACCCCAACCGGTTTGTTACCTTCTTAATTCTAACTACAATAGTAAAATATCTCATAATTAATAGAGTTTGATTAGGATATGGGCCTCACTAGTAATTACATAAATGCAAGGTTATCGATAGCGGATAGCGTCGCAAAGCGGTGAGGCATCATTAAGGCTATTTAGGGCTATTACGGTAAAATAGCAGTAAAAAGCGTAAAATCAAATAGCGGTCTAATTTAGATATGTATAAACACTAAAAAAGTTATAAGAAAAATCTAAGAAATCTAAAAATACATATTGGATGATTTAAAGAGATCCTAAATATGAAATAAACATGTAAAAACATCACGTAATACCGAAGATGACTGGAAGAGTCAAAAGTCATCGTCTTCGAGAAGAAGAGCTTAGCGGTGACAGGAATGTCCTAAGAGGAGCTCATGGTGAAGAAGGTGAGAGGAAGTATTAAGGTAGGTGCCAGAGGCTATGAGAGGTGACGGGAGTATGCTGAAAATCACAGGAGACGGTAGAATGCAATGGTCAATAGTTGAGTTTAATTTTAAAAAAATAAGCCTCAAACCGCTTTTAAATAGCAGTCAAAAAACAAATTTCGAACGTAATCGCTCACTATTTACCGTTATGACACACTATTGGCCGCTTTTGCGAACAGACATATTCTGTAATATGTCACCGCTATTACGCGATAGCGTAGCGGGCGATAGCGGCGCGGGAAGGGACCGCTAACACTATTAGCGCCGCTATTGCGGGGCTATTTACCGCTATTTATAACAGTGCATAAATGTTTTGAAGTGGTTTTATTATCTAATTAAATAATCCAATGGTTGATGGCTTGTATTATGCAGCATACAAAAGAAGTAGATAGAACTATTGTGCGATTGCTGAAAGAGAAAATAAATAAGATTTTTGCTTCTTTATAATTAGCGCATGGTAATTATTGTGAACACTATTTCCTATGTTGAATTTTAATCTTTGAATAATGAATCTCTCATCTCCTTTTCG